ATTAGGAAATTTTTGTCAACAATATGGTTATCAACCATTAACAGGTCCGTCTACTTCAAAAACCAAAAAAATATAATAAAAAATCTTCAAAATATTTCAAGAAAAAGAAATATAATAAATCAGAAAAATATAAGAATTATAAGAAAAATAAATTTTTAACATCAAAAAAACCCTTATAAACGATCTAATAAAAATTCTAAAAGAAAATCAAAAGACATTATTATTTGCCATAAATGTGGTCGTAATGGTCATAATGCTAATAATTGTTATGCAAAAACAAAAATTAATGAATTAAATATTTCAGAAGAATTAAAAGAACAAATTAGAAAAATTATGTTAAATTCTGATTCCGATTCTGATTCTAGTTTTACCGATTTTCAAGAAAATGATTTAAACATCTTAGAACAAAATACTTCAAGTTCGGAAGATTCTGATACATGCAAATGTGTTGGAAAATGTAATTGTAATTATTCAATTAATGTCCTTACAAACAATGACAAAGATCTTTTAAAAAATTTGGATTCAATTAAAGATAAAAATATCCAAGAACTGTTGATAAAACAAATGCTTAATAAGAATGAAATTCTATTTCAAATAATACAAAAATTTTTAATTTAAAAGACATATATGAAAGATTTTCTGAAACAAAACCCATTTCCATACAAGAACTTCAAGAAGAATTAAAATTAGTTAAACAAGACATAAAAGAAATTAAAGGCAAAATTATAACTCTTGAAAAGGGAAAAAATATTATTAATTCACAAAATAATGATAATAAAGATGAAAAGGTTATCGAAAGAATTATAAATGATCAAATTTCTCAAAAATGGAATACTCAAATAACTCTAGTAAAAAAATTTTAAAATGGATATTACTGCTCTAATTGATAGTGGTGCTGATATGAACTGTATACAAGAAGGTTTATTTCCCACTAATTTTATGAAAAACTTCTTCTAGGCTTACTGGAGCTGAAGGAACCAGTTTAAAAATAAATTATAAAATTTCCGATGTTCATATTTGCAACAATCAAGATTATTGTTATAAAACTCATTTAATTTTAGTAAAAATCTTACTTCTCCTTTAATTTTAGGAACACCTTTTATTACTAAATTATATCCTTTTATGGTTCAAGATGATGGAATTATTACTAAAGTTTTTGGAAAAGAAATTATGTTTAAATTTTGTGAACCTCCGTCTTATTCAACTATTAATATTCTTAATTATAAAACAAAACAAGCAAATTACCTTATCAATGAAATTAATGATTTTCGTATACATAATCAATTACAAGATAAGTATATTCAAGACAAAATTATAGCTTTAAAACAAAAGTTTGAAAATAATGTTTGCTCAAATATTCCAAACGCCTTTTGGAACAGAAAACAACATATTGTCAAATTACCTTATATTAAAACTTTCAATGAAAAGGATATTCCTTCAAAATCAAGAGCTATTCATATGAATAATGAATTAGAAGCCCATTGTAAAAAAGAAATTCAAGATTTATTAGACAAAAAATTAATTAGACCTTCTAAATCTCCTTGGTCTTGTTCAGCTTTCTATGTTATGAATGCTGCTGAATTAGAAAGAGGATCACCAAGATTAGTTATCAATTATAAACCTTTAAATAAAGTTTTAGATTGGATTAGATATCCTATTCCTAATAAAAGAGATTTATTGAAAAAACTTTATGATTCAAAAATATTTTCAAAATTTGATATGAAATCTGGTTTTTGGCAAATTCAAATTCATGAAGAAGATAAATACAAAACAGGTTTTAATGTTCCTTTTGGACATTATGAGTGGAACGTTATGCCCTTTGGTTTAAAAAATGCTCCTTCTGAATTTCAAAACATTATGAATGATATTATCATTCCTATAAACAGTTTTTCAATTGTTTATATTGATGATGTTCTTATTTTTTCAAAATCTATTGATCAACATTTCAAACATTTAAATCAGTTTTATGATTTAATTTATAAAAATGGCTTAGCTGTTTCAGCTAAGAAAATGCATTTATTTCAAAATGAAATTAGATTTTTAGGACATAACATTGTTAATAATACTATTAAACCTATTATAAGAAGTTTAGAATTTTCTAATAAATTTCCTGACGAAATTATAGATAAAAAACAACTTCAACGATTTCTAGGATGTCTAAATTATATTCATGATTTTTTCAAAGATTTAGGAACTCTTTGCAAACCTCTTTATAATAGATTAAAAAATAATCCACAACCTTGGACTCAAGAACATACTAATATTGTTAAACTTATAAAACAAAAAATTCCTTCTTTACCTTGTTTAAATTTACCACATCCTTATGCTAATATCATAGTCGAAACTGATGCTAGTGATATTGGATTTGGAGGTATTTTAAAACAAAAATTATCAAATTCTTCTGAAGAACAATTGGTTCGTTTTTATTCAGGTGCTTGGAATAATACTCAAAAGAATTATTCAACTGTTAAAAAGGAGATTTTAAGTATTGTTTTATGTATTACTAAATTTGAAGAAGATTTATTTATGAAAACTTTTTTATTAAGAATTGATTGTCAATCTGCAAAATCAATTTTAGAAAAAGATGTTAAAAATATAATTTCTAAACAAATCTTTGCTAGATGGCAAGCATTGTTGGGCAATTTTGATTTTGATATTGAATTTATAAAAGGAGAAAGCAATTCATTACCAGATTTTCTTTCTCGTGAATTTTTGCAGGGAAAATGAGTTCATCGTCTTCCTCTAAGATTGAAGACAAGAAACCAATTAATCAAAAGCTTGTTCCTTTCTCAAGTCAGAATCGTTTTTCTCCATTAACTCCAATTGCAAAAAATTCTCAACTTTATTCAAATATGCTTCAATCAAAATTAGTCAATCCAAACATTTCTCCAGTTCAATCAATTAGCCCTTTTCAAAACCTATTCCTTCTGAAACACAACTTTCAACAACTTCTAAACCTACAAATAAAGCCCCTTATGTTCTCAATTCAAATCTCTTGAAAATCCAAATACTTGAAGATTCTCAAATTCTTAAGCTCAATCAAGGTTTTCATGTTCTTACTGAACACCTCTTTGGCCGAGGAAAAACCTTTCATGAAAACTCTTACAAATCTCGAGAATATTATCAAACCATTCTACAAGAATCTGGATCTGTTCAGATTGATCACCGTTCTAATAATAAAGAAGGATCTATTGATTTTAGCAAAGCCCGAATTCTTAAAATCATTTCTCCAGAAATTGGTCATCCAATCTTTCTTTCGAAAAACCCCTTTATCAATTTCCTGCTTATCCAAGATATTCATATTATGATTACCAAGAAGCTTGGACTAAAGCATTTTTTCTTCGAAACTATTCTCATTCATGGTTCATTTTCTTTGATAAAAATTTTACCTGTGAATATCCCAGATGGTTTGTCAATTGGTATCGCTATATGGGACTTGTTCCTAAGAATGAAAATTCTATTTCAAATAATACAAAAATTTTTAATTTAAAAGACATATATGAAAGATTTTCTGAAACAAAACCCATTTCCATACAAGAACTTCAAGAAGAATTAAAATAGTTAAACAAGACATAAAGAAATTAAAGGCAAAATTATAAACTCTTGAAAAGGGAAAAAATATTATTAATTCACAAAATAATGATAATAAAGATGAAAAGGTTATCGAAAGAATTATAAATGATCAAATTCTCAAAAATGGAATACTCAAATAACTCTCAGTAAAAAAATATTTTTAAAATGGAATTACTTACTGCTCTAATTGATAGTGGTGCTGATATGAACTGTATACAAGAAGGTTTATTTCCCACTCAATTTTATGAAAAAACTTCTTCTAGGCTTACTGGAGCTGAAGGAACCAGTTTAAAAATAAATTATAAAATTTCCGATGTTCATATTTGCAACAATCAAGATTATTGTTATAAAACTCATTTAATTTTAGTAAAAAATCTTACTTCTCCTTGAATTTTGTTGGGCCGATGCCCTCTCTGTTATAAATTGTGTTTATATTTGTTTTAGGTATAGTCCAATCATTTAAATTTTGTTCTATATTATCAATAGTTTCTTCAATAGAGTTTATATGATTATCATCATAATCTTGTTCTTTATTCATAATATTTTTACCAGTATCATATTTTTTAGATAATATGCGTGAAAATCTACTCATATTTGGTTAATTTTTGTTTGAAGAATTTTAAGAAAATTATGAGTTTTGTTAAGAATGATACAGAGACCAGACCAGTGATTGGTTGGATTAGCGTAATATTATGTCTGATTCAAAGATACAAGCTAATCGTCATTATTATTGTAATCAATTAAAAGCTTTACAAGTTCTAATCCATAATCATGAGTTTAGAAGCAAAGATAGAAAACAGTTTTATAAAATAATGTATGATTTTTATCATCAAAAAATATCTGAAACTACTAGTTAGCAAATGGTATCAGAGCTACGTTTTAGACCAGAGATTAGTATGATATATATAATATATATATATATATATATATATATATATATATATATATATATAAACACACACAACGATCGAAACAAAACTATTTTTTTATCACAGATATCAAAGAAGATGCAAGATTTTTAGAATAAAAGGGATTACATTATAATTATAATATAGATATATTCTTAGAACAAGTATTATTAATAATTATAATATAGATATATTCTTAAAAAAAATAAACTCAAAACAAATATAATTATTATATTATTATATATATATTATATATATATATATATATATATATATATATATTAAAGAAATGAAAGTTAGGAACAGTGAAGTTCCTAACTTTTTGGCAGTTTTGGTCCTTTATTTATTATTTATGTATATATGTTAAAATCCATCTCTTGTCTGTTTATTTCCTTCTTTTTCAGGGGTCCTCTTAGGCAATTTTTAAAACTAGAGCTGCACACCCGTAGGTTCTTCCAGTATCTTCCTTACATCGCTCCTTATCCAAACTTCCTGTTCTCTTTCCTCTTTCATCGGATAATGTTCATCACCACCACCATCCAAGCGACCGCCTCCACTTTGTCCATAACTTTACTCCTGTTGCTATTCGTTTTCCCACATCGCTCTCTTCACCAACAACCACAACAACACAAGCACGACCTCCTTCTTTCATATCTTCGGTGGAGGTGAGTAGGGCTATCGAGGAGGTAAGGGAGAGGGGGTAACGGCGAATATCACACATATTACCCCTTCACACAATCAGAATGAAATCGACGTTGAGAAGACGAGAAAGACGATGAATACGACAATTGTGTCGCTGCTTAGTCCTGCCGCCATCATCACCCTTCATCGCTACAACCGCCACCAAACTCCCTCCCCTTCCGCTCCGGTTTAGTGCCGGATCCAAACAGGATGGTGGTTTTCAACGGCTTCAAATTGGCTAGCTATCCTTCTCTTCCAATCACTTTTCTCCTCCAAATAGATGTTTTCGAGGCTACGACACACGTGTCGATTATAAAGATTCAAGCTGCGTCGTACTCCAACAACGAAAACCCCGTCTAATTCAACGTCATCGTCAAATTCATTACCCGGTTTTCCTTCACTTCTCTCTTTCTAATTCAAATTCACATTAATTTTTTGTGGTTTACATCGATTTGAGTGACTTTCAGACGCATGTTGTTGTTATTTTATTGAAATGATTCATATCATAGCATGCATGAAATGATCTTACGAATTTGTATTGGTTATTAATCGACAGTTCTGTGTTTGATTTTGTTGATTTTGTTTTATGACATGATTGTGTTATGTATGGTGAAACACAATCGATAACGAATTTTTGTAGGTTATTTTTCTTGGGACACCTTGACAGAGAACAACACACCTGGTCTCCACTTTCCTTTTTTTCCCTTCCCAATGGAGGTTTCTGACTTTCTGCTATGGTATGTTGATATTAAACCCTTCGGATTCTGGTGTTGATGATGTATTTGGGGATAATGGTATTGAATTTGACTAAGTTTTAAAGTTTTCAAGATTGAATAATTATGATGATGGTGTTGTATTATAGAAACTTATGATACTGAAACAGAAATCGTTAAAGCAATTAAAGCTTAGACTTTAATTTTATTGTGGCTATCTCATCCCTAATTTGTTTTCCGGTTTTGCTTTTGGAGTTAGACTAGGACCAATCAATTGATTGCTGAATACCAGGCTATGTATCCTTGAGGAAATAGTGGCACATATACCTTCACAGATCAATCACAACCCATAAAAAACGGTTCTTTAAATGACGAGCGTAACACACAGATCTTTGATCAATTCCAAGTTGGATTAAAATGTGTGATAATACAAAGCGACAACTATATGACTACCTGGCAACAAAATGAGATTTGGATTTCCTTAATCAGCATTGTGAAGGTGTGTTGAATTTACTTTTCCATTTTCCAATTCAATTATGGGGTTTTGAATCTAAAGATGGAATTTGTTGTTTAGGCTAATCAAAGCTGAAGTTTGAGATGGTTTCTTATCAAGAGAAAGTTTTGCACCAGTTGACACAAATGAATGAGGACAACCAGCAGTTGAGTTATTATAAGAACAAGATTGCTAAAGAAGAAAAGAATTCCAAAGCAATTGAAGAGTACTTTGATTTTGTGACAGAGGATTAGGAAAACTGAATAGGAGAATCATATTGTGACAGAGAGAAGACAACGCTACCATGAACAAAACAAGGAAGAGGTACAAATACATAAGTTGTGTTTATAAAATATTGTTATAAGTTAGGAACAGTACCTGACCAGAGTACTGTTCCTTGGGTTAGTTAGTATACATGAGTTAGTTTAATCCCACATTCCCACCTATCCACTTTCCACCGCCTCTTTCTACCTTCCAGTTGGAAGACCTTCTACATCCAGTTTCGCCTCTTTCTACCTTCCAGGACCTTCTACATCCAGTTTCTTCCACAGCTTCATTTTCCTCTCCCAGACTGATTCTGAATGCTTTTATCGGCTCTCTCTCTCTCTCCTCTCTCTCTCTCCCACCGTCATTATCTCGGCTTCTCCATGGATGCTCTGCGTTTTCTAGGTCGTCTTTGTCATTCATCGGCAACCTACTCCACTACTCTATGCACCATGAGCGGTCCCTCTGTTTCCTTCACTGCAATTCCTCTAAATCTACCAATGGTCGCTTCGGTAAGCATCGATTGAAATCATCTGTTCAAACGTTGGTGACGGAAGGAGTTGATTGCAAGCGGTCGTCATCTACCCACTCTAGAAATCGACGTTTGTTTGCCTCATCTATCTGAGAGAAATCGAGTTTCGCCAGGTGAAACACATACAAACACACTCCGTCTTTCAATTTTGAACAACAAATGGTAGGGCATCGTCGCTCCTGGTACGACACCATCTCCTTCTTTCCCCCCCTTTTTTTTACCTTTTTGGTTGTTTGTTTTTCATATTCCGTACCCTAATCTTGCATTTTTATAAAAAATGGTAGCCCTCTTGCTGTACAGATATGCCGAAATACACAACAGATCGATCAGGTAAATCCCACTGACCTCAATGTATCATCTTTTGGTTTTGGTTATTTTCGATTCTGAATCATTTTCATGTTAGTTTCCTTCATATTTTGGTTGGGGCTGTTTTCAAGAAAAACAAATGATTACAAAACCAATTTCAGGAATTCAAGGTCATGATTTGCTACAAGAAAAACAAACCCAATTAGGTATGGACATCGGTTGTCCCTGTTTAAGGTTTACCACAAAATTTACCTATTGTAATATTGACTATAATAATTTATTGGTTATTTTACCAATTTTTTGTTTTTTTTTCAGCAGTGTCATTTGAAAAACACACTCAGTTTGTTCATCTGTCATATTGTGTTAATAGGTATGTTAGATTTTCATTAATATCTGTAAAATTTTCAGACACATACGTTAGGGCATCAATACAAAAGTTTATAAAGCCCAAGTACATATATGAATTCATGTTTTTAAAAAAATATTGATGGTTATATCTAATTTACAGGTGAAAAATGAAAAGAGATGACAGGATAGGAATCGAAAATGGTGCTACAAGCTCCAGATCTTCTTAAAATAGTTCACACCTCATTTCTTATTTTTCTTATCTATAAAAATATTTTTGTTGTTAAACTACAAAAAATGAAAATATTTTACTTAAATATTGTTTTTTATTTTCTTTTTCAGGTACCCGTTATGGTGGTAGTCTGCGAAAACAGATAAAGAAAAGGGAGGTCTGTAATAACTGCACATCACTATTGAATATCCACAAGTATTGATTACCTTTATATAGTTCCATGTTTGATTTTTTAATAAATAAAGCTTTTAAAAAAATACTTATTTATTCATGGGTAAATTAGTTGTAAGATCCACCAAATCTCCACCATTTTATTCTAATCAATTGACAATTCATTGATTTGGTTGTCGTTTATAAGTAATTTCACTTCGACATAAATATGGTGAAGAACAAAATTGATTGATTAATTTCATCGTGCATTTGTATTCTTGAAGCAAGTAGCTTTGGGGCTTCAACTTTGACAATGGATAACGGCTGGTATTATCCAATCAAGTAATTTTTGTGTAACCAGCACTATGTACGTACAATTCAACGTTTTTATGGGTGAACATCTCAATTGAAGGTTTGTAGACTTTATTAACATTTATTTTCTTAATTTACAGATGGTGGAATCTGTGGGCAGATTTGGGAATCACACCATCATCTCCATCTTAACCTCCACGTAATAGACCCGCTTTGGAGCTGGCCACTTCCTCCTCCATACAGGTTTGTTTTCATATTGGATAAAATCGGTAAGACCAGCAACAATCGAAATATGTCTATGTGTGTGTCTATGTATGTGTTTCTATATATATAAATATTTGTGTAATAATGTATATATGTGTGTATCTTTATATGTACATGTTTCTATTTGTGTATGTGTTTTTATGTGGGAGTGTTTGTATCTGTGTAGGTGTATATATTTGTTTATTTGTGTAGCAGTGCATACCTTTGTGTATTTGTTTGGATTTATGTGTTTGTTTGAATCTTTGTGTATTTTTGTGATTGTATGTGTCTGTAATTATGCTTCTATTTCTATATATCTATGTGTCCAGATGTGTGTATTTGTGTATTTATTTGTGTAGACATATGTATTACTGTGTATTTATATGTTACTTTTGTGTAATAAAAAATATATTTCTAAAAAATGTATGTATTGATATTGAAAAAAAATAGCATGCTAAAGCTGACAAATGTGCCATCATTTACAAACGGTGGTCACTACCACCGTCTTCCGGAGCTGTCTGTTACTCAGGTATACATTTGGTACTCTTCTCTTCACCGGTAGATATGTCTTCTGTGAAACTGATTACTCAGTGATCCGAAGGTAAATTTGAATTTTTTATACAGATGTCCTCCAGCAAACTTCAGATGATGAATCAAGAAAGAAGAAAGATGACCACTTTCTTTGCATGAAAGACGAAACAAATTTAATGTTTCGTTATGAATTTAATATTTCAGGTTCATATTCGCATTAATTCGTTAATTTTGATCAAATTTAACAACATTTGTATCCCTTTCATCCAAGAGGAATCTGATTAATTTAATCAAAAAAAATTTTCTACTTTCTATGACAGGAAATTGTTCGTATTATGTTTGAATTTAGAGATCAATGTATTCTGGAACTTGTAAATGTAATCTCCTATTTCTATCCATAATAAACCGGTCTTAATGAGACAAAATGACCATTTTACTCTTTACCTCTGCCCTTTTTTTTCTCCCAACACTTTTCACACTAAAAAAATCATAAGTATCTTTATAATTGATGAAATACAAGGATTTTTTTATTTCGGAGTGCAAGGGTAAAATGGTCAATGAATAGTGATTTTTGTGTTTGCACCAACATAATAGCATCAGAACACATGGTTTCATTAATTGCATAAGCGCTTTGTACGTCATCTAACACATTATCTTTACATTTTGTAGGCTGACCATTGTCAATTTCAGAGAGGTGTATGTACAATGAAACCAATTTTTCTTACAAGCTGATTTGGAAGACGGCGTGACATAGGAAAATGCAAAACTACAATCTGTTTCAGGATATATATGAAGGGTATTTTCGGTAAAACTATACATTTACTTTTGAAAAACATAGAGTTTTGACTGAAGATAATGTTTTGGACACATTTTTAATAATATTTGTGTGCTGGAAGGAGGTGTTTATGATCCTAAATTGTAAGTTGTTCATTTTGAGTTCGTGGGCTCTTTTTTTTTTGTTTTTTGTTTTTTGTTTTTTTTTTTTTGATAAACAAGGATTTTCTTATTACCATGTAATTGTTGTTTATTCCCAAAACCCACCACATCAGTTGCTCATCTATTTCAAATTCTTTTATGCCACATAAATGGAAGGATGTTGATATATTACTGCAATTTGAACAAATTTATATGATTTATGAGTTTATGGATTTTTTTTTTTACTTTTGAGATTTTTCTATTGGAGCAGGTTTTCAAGTAGATGTCGGTTCCAAAGGCTGGTGTATTTCCTTACATTAGTCTAATCAGGTAAATATTTCCTCGGTTGGACCTTAGTTCTTATTCTTGGTTACAATGATTTAGTTTTGAATCCCCTTTCACATGGAGATCTTATGTTAGAAATTGTACTATACATTCATGTGGAATAGATCTTCATGTGTACTTATCAGGTAATCACTTTATGTAGTTGGATTTGTGCGACCAACAATACCAATTTTTTAATCCAACATTGATATGAACCACTGAAAACAAAATACTGCAGTTAGTTCTTGGGGATATATTGTTTCAATTTGCAAACAAGTTTCATCCATTTTCTATATTCATGAAATTTGATTATGTTTATATTTTCTTCATCTTCAGGTAACTCTGGGCAGTTTGCAGCATATATCTTTTTTATTATATATTTTGGATTCTTTTCTAAATTTCCCTTTAATATACTATCTTTATGTTAAATGCCTGATAGTTAATTATTTGATTCTTGCGTCATCTATTAGATGTGGCCACCACCGGAGAATGAAGAGTACCCGACAACCTGATTCAGGAATGATAAACAACAGGGGAAAAAATAAAGGTTCTACAAAACCAAACAGTCAGTAAAAAAATGATTTATGCAGGTTTTATTATTTTATTTTAATATTTGGCTGTAGGTTAGATAGAAAGCAGCAGATTATAGCAATTCCAACTTGAGACATAATTATAAATTTTATTTGCATTTATGTTGTTAGCAACTGCTGCTATGTTACTATCCCCTGTTTCACTCCGGAGGCTTAAGGTGGTTCTTTCATCCTTTTTTATTATTTTCTGGTTATATGTTTTGTGTGTAATCTATATCTAATCAGACAAATCATGAGAAAATTATGGCAGATTGTGGCAGGAAGGAAAGCAAGATTAAACGAACTAATTTAAGTGGATATGTTTTGTTTCTGTGGGAGAAAGTGCCAAGAGGTGGTGGATTTGGCTGTGACATGGTTAGTTGAAGTCTGGTTACTGGATTTGTGGAAGGTATGCTTTAGTTAACGCTTTTCCCCAAAAAGAAAGAAAAAGAACAGACTTTTAATTAGACCAATTACCTTTATTTTTGCTGGCTTTTTTAGTATCTTTATTCATATCCCCTAAGCAACATTGTTTTTTCTGTTGATTTCTATAGATTCAAAGTTGTAAATTGATAGCAAATAACAGATGATTACTAGATTGTTGACTCAGTCATCATCACACAATTGTTAACACTTAATCAGAAGTTTTTCCCAAAAAAAAAGTTACATCAAATTAATCAGGTTAATTTTATTAATATAAAAAGTGTGCAGAGGCAATATGGTCCTAAAAATGTAAAAATTGTTTTTTTTAATATTAAAACATTATTCAGGGGAAATATAGTCCTAAAGCTATAAAAATTGATTTTTATTTATATAAAAATACTAAAAATTTGCCATTTTTCTGACCTTTGTTGATATTGATACATTCAAATTTGTTAGTTGGGTTTTGCAGATTACAGTTTCATACAAAGGTCACTCCCTTATTTCATTAAGATGGAAACTAGAAGGAATTCAAATTTTGGAGTTGGAATCACCATACATTAGATAGATGTATGTTGATTTTTTGTTGTACTATTATGCAATTTTTTGAAATTGTTGTCATTTATGTATTTTTTTAAGGACTGATCATTTCTGATGTTATTTTAAAGCACGTCATCTCAACATTTTGTAAGCATGAAATATTTTTTGAAATAACTAAAAGTTTTCCTAATTATAGCATTATACTTCAAAAGTATAATGCTATAACAGAAAACCGACACCTTCTGTCCCGCGCAACGCGCGGATAACCATCTAGTTAATAATTATTATATATATATTAAAGTTGTGGAAGAAAGGAATAGTAAAGTTGGCATACTTTGTCCAGCTTTGGCCCCTTGATTTACATATCCGGTCCCTGTACTTCTTTAATTAATTTATTCATGTCCTTTTGTTTGTGTTCCATTCAACTTCCCATTTTTTTGGCAGAATTGGTCCCTGTATTATTGTTGGAAGTTAGGAATACTAAATTTGAATGTTTTTTGACAACTTTGCTCATTATTCTTTACCTATTTTGACATTTTTGGTCCTTGCAATCAATATTTTTACACTTTTTTGGAACCTTTTAATATTTAAAGTTTGGCCACAAAACTTTAACGGTTTGACAACTTTGATCCCTTTTCTAAAAAGTTGCTAATTTCTACCCCTTTAATTCTTTAGCCATTTTCACACTTTTGGTCCTTGCAGTCAAAACTTTTACATTTTTTGTCCAGGGCAAAGCCCGGACTTTTCATCATTGCACTTTTTATGTCTGTCATATTTATCAATTCGGAAACAACATTGAAAGCTTCTGGCCCCCGCGTAGCGGGGGTAACCTTTCTAGTTTAAATGTTTAAAATTTAGCTAAACTTTAATAAAACCAATAAATCATAAAACCTATGTAAACTAAAAATAAAAAATGTAAAAGCAAAACTAAAAGTAAAGGCAATTCGTATATGTTATTATAGGCTTAGACTATAGCATTAAAAAACAAAAAATATATGAAACTAATTCTTGATGTAGTCCATACATAGTAATAATAAAAGGTAAATAAAAAATAAATAAGATAAATAAGAACCAAAAGTAAATGTCAAAACAGATTCGTATATCTTATTGAATCTTATTCTAGGCCTAGACTATAGCAAAAAAAAGCAAAAAAAATATATGAAGCTAATTGTTGTTGCAATCGATGCACATTAATAATGACAAAAATTAATATGAAACAGTATAAGGATTACCTGTATTTCTCTCTCTCAAATCAAAGTCAACATTTGTTATCTTAGGTTATGGGGAGCGGTCACACTCACCCCACCGAAAAAGTACTGCCACATGTGCGCCACGTCAGCTTCACACCCAACCCACCACCAACCCACTAAAGATTGGAAATGGTTACCACTCCACAAATTCTTTTTTTTTATTCTTTTTATTTTTTGAACATTATATTAATTAAAAAGCATAATTTATAACATACATTAATTTTTTAAAACATAAAAAAATAAAAGCACATTTCATTAATTAAAACATAGAAATTTAAAACTTAAATTAGTTAAATTAAACATTACATTGTCTAAATAAAATAAAAATTAAAAAACATAAAAAAACATAGAAAAATTCTAATCGTCGTCGTTGTCGTCACCGGTATCATCCGCCTCGTCGCCACCATCGTCATCCTCCTCATCGTCACCATCGTCATCATCGTCGTCTTCACCGTCATTTTGCCCTTGAAATTGCCGTTCCCATATGTATTCGGTCAAATCATGTCGTAGATTGTGATGTGTTTCATTGTTTTGTATTTCCAAAACCCTTAAGAAGTATGACGGACTGCCAACTTGTATTACTGCAGGTGAGTTAAGTATATCGTTTGTGGTATATGAGCAAATAGCCCTACCCTCTTCTTCTATTATCATGTTATGTAGAATAACACAAGCAGTCAACACTGTCCTCAATTTTTCTCTGTCCCATGTTCGTGCCGGATGTTTGATTATGTGCCACTTTTGTTTGAGGACTCCAAATGCCCGTTCTACATCCTTCCTTGCAGATTCTTGTGCTAACTTGAACATTTTCCGTTTATCGTCGGCCGGAAATGTGTATGACTTGACAAATGTAGCGTATTCTGGATATATCCCATCACCTAGGTAATACCCATATTTGTATTCATTTCCATTGACAACATATGGCATTTCTGGTGCTTTGCCCTGTAAAATATCGTTAAATATCGGAGACGCTTGGAGCACATTCAAGTCATTGTTTGACCCGGCCATACCAAAGAATGCATGCCAAAACCATAGGTCATTTGAAACCACCGCCTCCAAAATAACAGTCGGCACCCCATGATCACCTCGCGTGAACTGGCCACGCCACGCGTTGGGACAATTTTCCCACTCCCAATGTGTACAATCAATGCTACCAAGCATCCCTGGAAAACCATGTTTCGCTTGATGCGCGGCATACAACTGTTCGACATCGCTTTTAGTCGGATGTCGCAGGTATATGTCACGGTAAAGCTCTATGACATACTCACAAAATAAATATGTACACTCTCGACCCGTCCTTTCAGACATTTTTAGATACTCATCTGATGCGTCTGTGGTTATACCATATCCAAACTGTCTAAGAGCGACCGTATATTTTGTATTGTAGTAAAACCGCGTTTACCTCTAGCATCCCATCGTAATTGAAAAAATTCATAATTACGTGCCAAATCTCTAGCTATACGTAAAAATAAAGTTCTACTAATACGAAAACGTTCTTCGAATTTAGATAGATCATATAAACTATCAACGGCAAAATAATCACGTACCAAAAGTTCATGTGCCGCCTCTCGATCCCGGTTGATCCATTTTCTATGCTTCTTGTCGACGTTTGAACTTTCGCCCCTTTAACGTACCATGTCTCGTGCCGCGGATAACAATGTATACAAAATCAAATCTTCATCGGAATCGTTATCATCGGAAGACGAATGAATTGGAGGTGGAAAATTATCCATTTTTTGGTTTAATGTGTGTGTTTGTTTTGAAAAAATGTGGGTGTGGTTTAGTGGAAATTGTGGTTAAAGTGGATGTATATATAGAGAATTTGAAAAAATTAAAAAAAAAAAGTTTTTTTTATTTAAACGGTCGAATAACGTTCGAAAATAAATTGCCCAATCAAAGACCTCGTCTTCGTCCGTCTTCCGCCTCACGCCACACGCAGCCCACCGGACTTGGGGGCGGCGTTCACGCGTGGGAGAGGTTGCCACCTCAGCCCAAGACGCGTGAAACTACCCCCATACCGGGTAGCCTTATTAACAAAAGCAGCGGCAGGCCAAAATGAAGCGCCTTCATCTCCTACAGAAAATAAGATCTGAAATTGCTTTTTCTCCGGTGACCGATTAGTGGCGAGCGGCGAGAGAGTAGAGAGGAACAACTACTTTAGTAGCACTGCGCAGGAGGATATGGACGATTGCAGTTCTAAGGTTGTTTTTGGATTTTTGTAGTTTTAGTTAGTGGTTGGATATGAAATAACTGATGTTAATTCATCTTCGATTTCAACAAGATATGTAGAGCACCGGTAGCAGGGAGGTGGTGGTCGGAGATGAATAAAAGTGGTTGGAGGATATCATAGATGAAACAGATCTAGAAGGAGGTGATTGTTGTGGATCCTCGTTGTTGGCCTAGGTCGAAGATCTGGACTTGCCACTTATCGGCGGTCGTAGATCTAACATCTCCGCTCGTCGGCGTTTGTTGATGTATGTCGCCGGTGGTGTTGCGGTAGTCTTCGGTGATTATCGACAGGAGACACGGATCTAGAGATAGAGGAGGAGGAGGACAACAGTTGTGGATCTACAGCAGATATCACAAATTTGGATGGCAGCATCGGTGCCTACTTGGATTCCGGTGAGTCGGTGGTAGGGCGGAAATCGGCGGTGGAATGAGGTTGTCGGAAGGACAGAAGCAAGTGAGAGGTTGATGTTTTTTTGAAAAACATGAGAGAATTAATCAGATATGTTTTTAGATCTATTTTAAAGATCTGAATATTTGTTTGTCAACTACGTTGTGATTTTTGGTTATTTACAATCATGCCATTCGGTTTTTTAGTAATTAGTAGACAAAAATTAATTTTTGCAATCATATATTTGACGGAAGAATGTATTTATATTTAATTATAAGCTAAAATTAATGGTTCTTAGGATTTTTAATCTTTTTTTGTTCTCATTTGAACATTTACCTATATATATATATATATATATATATATATATATATATATATATATATATATATATAGAGAGAGAGAGAAAGAATTAATTTCTCTAAAAATGGTAGGGGAAGTATATATATCTATATATATATATCTATATATATATATATATATATATATATATATCTATATATATATATATATATATATATATTTGTTTTTGTAATGTTACGACCATATTTGTGTTTTTAATATGAATAGTGAAATTTATAACAATGTGTATATATTTTCGATTTAGTTTATATTATATTTACACAAAACTATAAAAATGGTCCCTGTGGTTTATCAAAGATCACAAACTCAGTATCTCCTAATTTTTTATGATGAAACATGGTCCCTGTGGTTTTCAAAACTTATGTGAATGACTCTTTTTGCCGACGTTGTTACTGTTCATCCGTTAATATGAGAATATTTTTGTGTTTTCAAGTAGCAGAGACTGAGTTTGTGACTATGGGTAAACTATAAGGACCATTTACATAATTTTTTTATTAATATTTTTATGTTTATAAGTTTGTGGCTTTTCCACTCATTTACCTTTTAAAATATCACTTTGAACCCTTGACTTTGAACTTGGAAAAATGTTACTTTCACCCCTCTATTTTCTAAATTTTCGTGTTTAACTTCGTATGATATATAATTTGATTTTCATTAATAACTTCCGTTCGTTAACCTAAAAATTATTTTTACGTGTTTAGTTTTATTTATTTGTCGGTATAATTCAAGGTGGTCAACGTTTCGACTTTAATTTAGAACTTTCTTTCGTTAATTTTTTTTTATAAAAAAATTACATGGTTTTTTTTATAAACTTGTCGGTTTAAATTCGAGTTTGTCTACGTTTCGACGTAGTTTTTTCGTTACGTTTTTGTGTTTAACTGTATGTATGTTTCTTACGTATGATACGGGTCACATATAATAACTTTCGTTT